TCCCACCCAGATTCTGAATATGTGGTACCAGTTCATAGGTCTTTAGAGTCCTGATAATGCACCGAAGGACTATGCACTTTCCATTGCTGTTCCGTAGACCCTAGCAAAAGGTGGCTTTACCCTCAAACTCCTCAGAGTCCTGGGAGGGTGAAGAATATTAGGAAAAAAAAAATCCCAAGAACTAAAAATAATCCAGCTCAATGATCTAGTGAAACATTTTCTGTGCCAGACACTGAGCCAATCCCCAGCACCTTTTAGCTCATGGGATTCTCACTGCAAACATATGTGAGCACTATTATGACACATTTTACATGTGAGGAAATTTGCACAAAAAGGTGGAGTAAGTTGCCTGAGTGGTGGAGCCTTATAATTTCCCAGGCCTCCCACCACCTGAGAAGCAAGGCAAAGGAATCAGTTCTCCTCTGTTCCCACGGTTCCACTCTGTTCCTTCTCTGTCCTGCTTACTCAGGTATGGCCTTGATCCCATCATGCTGGATTCATGTCTGACTCACTGGTCAAACCATGAGCCCCAGGAGGCAGGGATTTTTTTATTGGTCATCTTTTCACCTCCCCACTTAGCGGACAGACTGGATTATAGTAGCCTCTCTGAACAACTAAATGAAAGGAGCCTCCATCCCAAACTACCACTTGGAGTGGGGGGATTCCCAGAGAAAGGGGTAAAGGCAGATTCCTCCTGCTGCCTCAGGAGAGCGTGGGGCTGGATGTGCACACATGCCCCAACAGCAACTTTCACAGCGGGCCACTAAAGCCTAGTGGGGGCTAAATGGTTTTAAAAACCAGATTGCTTATATTTTCCTGGACAAAAAAAAAAAAGTTGACTTGAAAAAGTTTTAAAAAGTCAAAAGTAGTTTTTAAAAATGTGCAACTTTAAACCCAGAAATTTTCCTAGTGGGAGTTTATCCCAAGAATCATCCTGGCTCTATTTCTAGAGACAGATCGTAAGCAAAAACAGGAAGGAGGTGGGTAGAGGACAGTGGTCTGTCACTGGAGAGATGGTGACATGCTGGGAAGGGCTTGCCCAGTGATATCAGGAGGGGGAACCAGAGCAGCCAAACTTTGTTTTTCAATAGGGCCAGAAATCTCAGTTTTAAAATATGGGCTGTGGTAGATTGCATAAAGAGGACTCCGATTATTCCCCTCCTCTCTCCATGCCTTTGAGTAGAGCTCTCCTACATTGACCCTCAGCTGCCCATGTGACTGCCCGTGGCCAACAGGATATCAGCAAAAGGAATGCCAACAGAGGCTTAAAGAGAGTTTGGCCAGTGGAGGCCAAACCAGGGCTTGCTTCTTGCTGCCTGTGTGACCTTTGCTGCCACCACCAAATGAGGAAGTCTGGGCAAGCCTGATGGGTAAGAGCACGTGACCTAGACACCTCTGTGGCCCCAGGCAGATGCCTGTCCCTTGCCAGACACACAAGTGGGGCCACTCTGGGTCATCCAGCCTCAGCCGACCACAGATTCACAAACCAGCCCAGCAGAGGTCAGCTGAATTGGCCTCCACCAACAGCCCAGGCTGCTCACAGAACCCTGAGTTAAGTGTGAGCTAAGTGTTAAACCCACCTACACTCACTCATCCATAAATGTGGCTCTGAGTGGTGAGAACAAAAGCTAAGGCAACTCTCTATTATGAAATCCAGAGGGAAAAGAGCAAAATAGTAAGTCCAAGATTCAAAATGACAAGCAGTTTATTGAAGATGCCATAGAAGTGCAGTCTATCACTGGGTTTAGGGATGTGGACAAAAGTATGAGAGGTTTACAAGATAATGAATTATTGGCTGGGTGACAATGTGTTAAGCCAGCACATTTGTTGTTTGAAGCCAATACATGTTGGGGTTGTTTGCTATAATATGATCTAATTGGTAACAAAATTAAAACATGTTTGGAGTTAAACAAAACAGGGATCCGGTTCATTGTACCCTCGATGAATGTTGACATTTTGCAATGGAGACTTCCCTTGCATCATTGTTTGTTTATTGCAGGGCTGGGTATTGAACCAGGGCCTCACATGTACTAGGCAAATGCTCTAGCACTGAGCCAATCCCCAGCCCTTTTTATACTTTTATAATTTTGAGACAGAGGGGTCACTATGTTACACAGACTTGCCTTAAACTTGGATCCTCCTGTCTCAGCCTCCCCTGTAGCTGTAATTACAAGTGTGCATCACTAAGCCTGCCTACATCATTGTATATAATAATGAAAAAGCAAAGAAAAACTAAAGATCCGCTCAATTGGGAAGGGGATAATAAGGAGTGGCATATTTATGTATAGGAGAGGCGTGCTGCTGCTATGGTGTAGGATTGTAGCAAACAGGTCTACCAACCCTTTAGAAGTGTGCCATCAATTTTGTTGTTAAGGCTGCCATAGTGGGGACAAACTGAGCTACATCCCTAGCTCTTTTTACAGCTTTCTTACTTGAGGGCATCAGAGTACAAAATATGGGCAGTAAAGAGCTACACTCGGACAGGGACATGGTGCTAAAGGGGGACCAAGCAAAAAGTGGAGTGGTGGATGTTTTGATGGTGATCACCATTGGTGAAGTGGCTTCTAATCTCTTCAAAGGTTGCTAAAACTATGAGACTCGAACATGTGTTCCAAACACAAAGGATGTGGGAAACCACTGGTGTGGGAACAGAGTGGTACTGAAGGAAACATGTACAATACAGCAGCACGTACAATAACCCCCCCATTCTTGTTATAAAAAGAATGTGCAGGCAGAGAAACTTGCTGGACGACAGAGCAAAGCTGAATCTAACAGGTTACCTTTGGAAGATGGGGATATGGATAGTTCTTATTCCCCACCCCTCATAATTCATTGTTCCTTTTTTACAAACAGATGCAATGAATGTGGACTTTACTTGTGTTGATAATTCAATAAAAGTTACAGATTTGAAAGCATTAGAAGGCACTCATGTTTGCATGCACACACTTGCACATACTTACCCCCCCCGCAACACCCCAATCTAAGGTGGAGGAAGACTGTTGACATTTTGTTGTTTCTTTAATCTCTGCAAATGCCCTGCTGCCCCACTACACTTATCGATAATTTTCTTGGGGATAGACAGACTCTGGAATTGTAGAATATTCTTCCACGCAAAAACACATGGAATTCTTGCAGGCAGCTCACCTCCTTAATTCTCTTGGGAGGCCGGCAGACGCTATGTAGAATCACTGATCTTCACAGCCAGGGGTAAAAATGAGGCAGGGATTCAGCTGCTCTGTTCTCCCACTTTGCAGAACTTCAGCAGGAACATGAGCAGGCCCAGGGAGTTGAGGCTGCCATTTGGAGGGGGAGACACCCTGCTTGTTAAAGGCAACAAGCCAGAGCTCTAATGGCCCCCTTGACCCTGTCAGCGCTTCACAGCCTTATTCTTCACTAATTGTCTCTCACTACTGGCAGAGCACAGAAGTGTCTTTGTGCATGACAGATTCCTTACAAATGGTGGGTGCAAGATACAGCTAATCATCAGACCCACTTCTAAGATGCCAGATAGCCAGACACAGCAGAGCCCACCTATATTCACTCATCCATAAATGTGACTGAGTGGTGAGAACAAAAGCTAAAGCAACTCTCTATTATGAAATCCAGGGGGAAGAGAGCCAAATAATGAGTCCAAGATTCAAAATGACAAGCAATTTATTGAAGATGCCATAGAAGTACAGCCTATCACTGGGTATAGGGATGTGGACAAAAGTATGAGAGGCTTACAAGATAATGAATTATTGGCTGAGTGATAAGATGGAAAATTAGAGCTGATAAGGCTAGTAGATGATCCTCTGGGACCGCATTCATTGAATGAATGAGCTGTGGAATAACTGATCTTTCTAGTAAAGGGGATATGGATACCAGATGACTGACAGGATGTCAACACACCATGGTCACCTTTTTGAGTACCTGCTTCTTGTTCAACTCTACCACTCTATATACTTGTGTTCATAATGTAAGGAGATAAAAAGTATACATTTTTTTCCTGTTGGAAAAAAAAAGCATTAAATAGATGGCCCAATTATTGATGAAGACAGATCACGGATAGGGAATTTTCGCTTATGCTTTTCTCATTTGGATCCATTGTAGAGTTAATAAAATCACATATTTTAAAGGTTGGTAATTAAATGCATTGGCATAGTTCCCCCTCTGAGTCTCATCTTCAGGCACTCTTCACTTTGTGAACTACATGTTCCACCATGGCAGCAAATGAACAGATACCATTTTCCAAGAGCTGACTACTCTAGGCTCTAGATGAGCCTAGACTTTGTTACTTTAATCATCAGGGAGATCTTGGAGGTGAGTACAGTCATTTCCCCATTCTACAAATGAGGAAACCGAGGCTTAGGGAGGGCAAGTAACTTGCTGAAGGCAATGCAGCTAGTAGGTGGGAGCAGGACTCTTCCTGTCCTTTTTGAGCAAGCAAGAGGGAAAGGAAGAGAAGCCACATGGAGCATTCTAGCTCACTCACGCCAGCTGTCAATCTCTCTGTAGGAGGAGGCCAACCACTATTGTATATCTGCTCACAGAATTGTTGAGAGGACCAGATGAGATCACATATCGGAAAAAGCCTTGAAAAGAGGAAAGCATTTCATAAACAACACGTTGCGATAAGTGAGATGAGACGACTCCATCGCTCTCCTCAGGAACACACTTCAGTCATGACAGCCTTAATGGAAAGACCACAGTCTCCCTTTTGCCCTAATTTAATGTTTTAAATAAACAGCACAAGATTTTCTTAAGCAATCTTTTAAAGATGAAGGGCTCGGGTGTGCATGCTGGCACTTGAACTGGTGTTTGCAGGGAGCTTTGGTGTCTCATGTTTAATATGGACATCCTGCCTGAGCTGTTTATGTTGACTGGGGAAAGTAAGCATTTCATTGTTACTATCAATTCTCTTCCAAAGAAACGATACTGTAATTATATACCCTTAATCTCTGCAATATAAGAATGAGGAAAAAACACCACACTTTCTCATGAAAGGAGCACAGTATATGTATAGTAATTCACTGTTTATTATCATCATCATTATGAATAGCAAAGTCCACAGTTCAGTTTCCAGGCAACATGAGGGTGGAGTTTTATATGTGGGACACCTGCATGTGATGTGATAACATGGTGGTTGTTTTTTTTTTTTTGACCACTATGATTTACTGGTCTATTAAAACACAACCGCACAGTTAAAAACTACAATTAAAACACAATCTTTAAGCAATTAAAAACAATCAATTGTTGAACCAATGTAGGAGATCTGCTGAGTAATTTGGCTTTTTAAGTAAAGTCAAGTAGAAACTGTTTTCTCTCTCCATCTAAGGATCAGTGAAAAGAAAAAACAAAAATCCACCTGCTCTGAGCGAGTCAGGATTCAGCACGAGTGACTTGGGCCCCTCCCCAGTGCTGACGGGGTGGCATCACTCCAGCATGTGCTGGAGCACCGAGGGGTCCACCTCCATGGCCTCCAGGCCCTTGTGCAAGCTCAGGAAGGTGGCCTGCTTCCCGAAGCGCTGCCGCCAGCGGACGAAGGCCTCCACCACCTGTGACTGCACGTTGTGGGGGTGGTTGGCCTTACAGCGGTAGATATCCGTCTGGGACAGTCCCAGTGACAGCACCACAGGCTCCCACTCGGGGCCCAGCCTCTGGGCCAGCTGGTTGATCTGCCTGTCTGACGGGGAGCTGTTGAGGATGTGTGAGGGGAGCCCAGGCGTCCGATCACCTGAGGAGAAAAAGACACGCAGGTGAAACACACGACAGACACTTCAGGAGGCAGAGACAGAAAGGTGGGCAGCCAAGACAACTGCTCATGGTGGGGCTCCTAGCCTTGGTGTGTCAGGGCTTAAGAAATACCGCCTAGCATCTTGAGAGTGTTCACCATGGCAAGTTTGAAAACAATAATCTGGTCTATTTCCTTTCTTTTATATATAAAACATACACGGAGGATGACCTTGTACATGCTGCTAGCAGCAAGCTGTTTTCACTTCCATCTCTTTTGTCAGAGGCCAAGCCAGGAGTTCTGGAGGGAACTTAGAAATGTCTGTCCAGGCTCCAGTTTCCCTGGCACTGGCCTGTGGGCCAGCAGTGGGGCTTGGTCCTGGGCTGTGAATGCTCCTCCCTGCAGGAAGGGCTCACATGGGTGCAGGTGGGGGTAAGGCCTAAAGCCAACAGCCCTCTCTCCCGATGGCTCAAACATGAACAGGTGCAGCTGGCGAAGCAGGAGCCAAGAGGCCTGATGAGACAAAATAAACTGTCGAGTCTGCAAGGGAAGGGAGGATAGTGGGGCCCGTGGTAGCAGCAGAGGCCACTAGAGTGTAGTTACCCGTCCTGGCTACCCTTCTGTTTCTCTTCTGGGCTCAGGGGCAAGGAGAAAACTTGACCTTGCACTTCCTAAATTAGCTTCCTATCTGCTAACACATGTGACAGTGAGTTATAAGTGTCTGACACCAACAAGCAGTGCCCTCTGTTACTCTGAAGGGGATCCTGTCCTAGTGTGGCCAGAGGCTCTCCAAAGGAAGGAGGTTAAGGCAAAGCCCTGAACAAGAGGAAGGGGAGGTGGGCGAAAGGGGAGAGCCATGCCTCCCATCAGAGGAAAGTATGTGGAGAGCACAGAGGGAGCAGGGGAGCGCGTGGCACCAGGTATAGTGTCAGAGGGAACAAATGTGATGCTGATGGCCCTGGCTCAAGCCAGGTTCAGATACTTGCACGGGGCACAGGGTGCTGCACTTGCTACCCACCGGCATCGTGGGGATTCAGGTCAATCCACCTCACGCTCCCCAGACTACTGTTTTGATTTATGACTCAATAAGAAGGCAAAAGGCATCCTGTAAGAAGAGCTGCTGTTCCCACCGCCCTGCCTTTGGCCTCTAGGCTGCTAGTTGCCAATACCTCAGGGATTAGTTGCAAAAATATTGCCAAGAACTTTTTCTGGTGTTTGTCAACACCATGATTTAATTTAAAAAAATATTAACACACACTAATTATACATATTGATGGGTTCAGTTGATATTTCCAGACCTGTATACAGAGTGCACTGATCAAACCCAACCACCCTTTTCCCTTCTCCCTTCCCACCCTCTTCCTATTCTCTAGTGATCACAATCCTACTTTGGGGTTGATTGTTATCTTCCACATATGGGAGAGAACATGCAGTGCTTTCTTTTCATGTCTGGCTTCTTTCACTTAACACCCTCCAGTCCTATCCATTGTGCTACAAATGACAGATTGTCATTCTTATTTATGGCTGAATAATACTCGGTTATGTATATACACATCACATTTTTTTCACTCATTCATCTGTTGGTATGCAGTAGGCTGACTCCTTTATCTCAGCTACTATCAACAATGCAATGAGAAACTGACTAAGAGGCAATTACAATCATGATGATAATATTAAGCAATGTTTCATATGAACAGTATAATTTTTTGGCGTTTGTAAAAATGTGGGAGGTTTTATAAAAATGAGTGCATTTAAAAATTCAAGGAAAGCAAAATTACAATGAGGAAAGCAAATCAACCAATATCTCATCATTGTATTTAGGTGCTGAACATCATTCTGAATATCTCTTTATGCACATATGCTATTAGAAGGACAGATATATTATCATTCTAAATGAGATCATTGATATCTAAGAGTTTTTCCCTAATAAGAGCTATTTGATTTTTGTTTAAATTTAACAGAAGGAAAAAAGCAGACATAAAACTGAATATTTTCTGACTAGCAATGAACTACTTAAAAATACACATGCACAATTTAATGGAGATAAATTATGAAAATTTTAAGAGTTTAACCAAATGTTTTCTTTCCACGCTTTATAATAAACACTTTATATTCCCTCTCATTCTTCCTCACACCTCTTGTCTTTTGTTGCTTGTATCATTTTTTTGTAAGGTACTACCATTTTTATGTCTCTGTGACAATAAGCTACAGCTCCTTGCTCCCAAGTTGTTTAAGACTACAATGGTTTGAAAGCTCACCGCTGTTTCTGTTGTTGTTACTGCTTTTCAATCATGGCTTTCCTGCTCCTGGGTCTGTTTTTCTGATTTGTGTCAACTGGTCACTTTCCTCACAGATAGTTTTATTTAAGAAATGTTCATGGTTGCAATATTCCCTGAGATTTTTTAGTTTAAGATTGTCTACTTATTGCCTTCATTGGAATAATAACTCATATTTAGAAAAGCAACTTTAAAGTTACTTTTAATATTTTATTTTTAAATTATAAATATAATTTTATATTATTTAAATAATTTTATTCCCCCTTACAAGTTTGTAGACCTTGTTCCTACTTTATGGTAGGGAATGCCAGTATGGAGAGTTCTGGTACCCCTAATATTTTGTGTAACTTGCTTTCTCTTTGTGGGGTACAAAACACTGAAGCCTTATATCAGGGCATATCTTTGCTCCTCTAGATCTGCTTTTGTTGGTATGTGATAAGACCATCTGACCAAAGATTCAGTTCTTTCTTCCTTTCAGAAAACCTCCCTGTGTTAAATCTTTGCATTCTTTTTCTGCTCTGCCTGTTGGATGGCTTTGTCTATCCTCCATGACTCTTTTCTCTCTTATTGCTTTAATCTCCCCCCTGAGGTCATCTTACAATTTCCCCCTAGGCTATTCACTTGACTTTCATCTACCTCTGTTTTTTGTATTTTGTTATTTTTTTTCTGGTTCTAATCTGGAATTGTGTTTTTGCTCTAATTCTTCTCTTGGCTCTTTGAAAAATTCCATTCCATTTCATATACATTAGGAAGGCTACTGCCAAAAAGACAGACCTAACAAGTACTGATGAGGAGGTGGGGAAATCGGAACCTTGTGCACTGTTGGTGGGAGCGTCAATGGTATACTTGCTGTGGAAAATAGAAAACACTATGGTAGTTCCTCAAAAAATAAAAAAATAGAACTAGTATATGAACCAGCAATTCAACTATGGATATATACCCAAAATAATTTTAAAAGGGGCTTGAAGAGATAGTGTACACCATGCTTATCGCAGCATTAAACATAATAGCCAGGAGATGGAAGCAACCCAAGTTGCTTCATTCCGTGATGAATGGATAAACAAAAGGTGGTAAATACATATAGCAGAATTATTACTCAAACTTAAAAGGGAAGGAATTCTAACATGTGCTCCGACATTGGTCAACCTCGAGGCCATTATGCTAAATGAAATGAGCCAGTTGCAAAAGGACAAATACCATGTGATGTTACTCATCTGAGGTATCTAGAGTAGCGGAAAATGGTGGCTGCTGTGGGCTGATGGAGGAGCGAGGGGTCAGTGTTTAACAGATATGGAGTTTCAGTTTTGCAAGATGGTTAACAACTTTGGAAATGTGCTAAGAACAATGTGAATGTACTTAACGCTTCTGAATTGTGTGTTTTAAAATGGCTACAAATTAAATTCTAAGTTATACATATTTTACCACAATTTCAAATAAAAATGAAATAGAATTAAATTAAATAGAATTCCTCACCTTCTTTCCCCAGAACTGCTTCTGAGCAGCCGAGGCGGGGTGTTTTCTTCCCTGCCCACCACTTGTCATGGGGCTTGGCACAAAGCGTAATTGCCTTTTTGTTTGTTAGTTTACTGGCTGCTGGTGAATTGGGGGCAAGGTCCGTTTTTGTTTGTGACTGCTTTTCAGTTCAGTTCACTGCAGTGGGGGAGGGAGCGCCTGTGTTCCTGCTGCGCTGTGGCCCTGTCGTCAGTCATCTTTCTCACTCTCTCGGCCAACTCTCAATGCAACAGATGCTGTAAGCCAATTGTCTGGCAGTAAGGACAGACTTTGCTCTGATTCTTCCACACTTTCAGGGTCACATACCCTCTGAGAATAGTGCCATGTCCGCAGAGGGAGAAGGTAACTGGGAGCAGATAGAAGTCTATAGACACCCTGGGCCAAGATGACTGGCACATACACACTCGCCTGCCAGGCAAATGGAGCCCTTCCAACCAGACAGCTTTACATACACCAAGAGGCAAGAGCAGCTGTCTGTGCCATCTGACCTCTATCTGGAAAAGTATCCTCATGAGGCCCTTTTAACTTGTGTATTCTGCTGAATACAAGGTTACTTAAAAATGAGTCCTAAGGCTTTAGTGTCAACTTCTAAGGATACACTATGTAAAATGAGCCCAAGCTACAAATTGATCCAGTGTGACCACCGGGCCACTGTTTTTCAAAGCTAATACATACCATTAGTGATGTGTATGCTCATATTAGGTAGATGAAATGCTCTGCATTATAAGAGTCATATCTATTTTAATACGGGGGAGAAAACTATAAATAGCATTTAAAACCCAAGATCACAAGGGTTAAAATATGTAAATTAAAGACCAGGTATAGAATGGCAAAAAGTCAATTAAAAAGAAAAAGTAAATTTAAAGAAAAACATTAAATTAATGGTACAGGTGGTACATAGATGTGCAAAAACTGTACGAGTGGAACCCAAATAATGGTGGACGGGGAAGCCAGTGGGTGTTCAAGGTGCACCAATGGATTCTAGGCAGACTTCATGCTGTGCAGGGTGTCCCCTACACCTCACAGGCCTTCAGCACCCCTGCCTTGCAGCCTTGCAGTGACACCTCCCACCTCACCATGAGAACACAAGTTCACATAACCTGGGGTGGGACAGGACTATCCCTGATTAAGAATCATGAGACACTGTGGTGCCTAAAACTTCTAAATATGGACAAAATGTTCTCCCTTATACAGATCCTAAATCTTTCATGCCAT